TAGTCAAATTATTTTCTTGTAAATTGTATCACTACCATTCAAACAATAACCAGAAACTGTTAGAAACTATCAAAAAACTTCAAAAGACTTTGAACTGTCTTATAATAAAATTTAGATTGAAAATCCATCAACCAGTTTCAAAGGAGAGAAGGCTTGATATGCTGGCTTTTGTACAAAGCAACTCCCCTAAGCACCGCGACTATTAATCCTTAAGATCATTTCTCTATTATATAATTAAATGTGTATGAAGCTATTGTTGGTAATTGATGTTCTACCATTGTGTTGTGTTGGGCTACACAATATCCACTGATGACTAACGTCATTAGCCAACGTTTGACGCAATGTTGGCCAGTTTGGAACCAATGTTTGTAAGATCTGATAGTGTTTTGTTTTTGGGTCTAATTGGAAATGGGTTTTTTTAAAAGCAAGGTACACTGCTTGTGTATTTTTAGTTTTTACTAAAATAAGATTATGAAGTGCATTTAATAACCCAATTTAAAATATGAGGTTTAGAGGCATAACATAGATCAAATGTGCATGTCATTATTTTAACATCCGTGAGAAGAGGAAATAATATATTTACAATATTCCTTTTAGTTTATCTATCCGTGTTCAGTACAATACATATAAGCCCGCTTCTTGCTTCTGTTAGTTTGGGTAATATAAAGAGTATTACTTGCAAAAAATGCCTCAAGGCATTTCGTGTGCATGAGGTTTTTTTCAACCAACCAACCTTCCCATTGGTCACCCCAATTCTCAAATATCTTAATCCTTAAATCCTTGATCCCTAAAAGGTTGGCCACGTAATTGAAACTCCTCTAATATAGCGTGTGTCCATGGATGGAGCCGATTGCTTACCACCAGGTGGTTTTTTTTTACTAGCAATAAACTAGTGCTTGACTGCGATCCCACCTGATGGTAAGCAGTGATACAATCGTTGATGGTAAGGCGCACTAGTTTATTAAGAGCCTATTCACTCTAGCCTTGAAGACACCTAAATTGTATTAGGACGGTTTGTCTGCTCAAACTCTCAATAATCTTTCGCTTCCCATATTTCCCTTTTTCCCTTTCGTCTGCATATGCAATGAAAATATCTGAGACAGTTGCTAAGGAGCATTCATTAATGTTAATTAACCTTTTGAGCCTACACAGTGATCTAATTTCACACCCAATCCAGACTCCAGACTCAACAGACACATATAACTTCTGTAGTTACATTGCAAGTTATTGGAATTGATTGAAAGATTGAGGTTTTTTTTTCATTGTATATGAACTGATTGGAAACATTGGCATTGGCCTTTAATTGCTGTACTCAAAGACATTTAATGATAATATAAACTGTTCCTTAGTAAGGTTATTTTGTTCTGCAAACAATTTTTAAAGACTAGCTTAAGTGGACATTAAATCATTCTGAGTACTACGGTTTTGAGAATGAAATAGCCTATAGGGCGAGACTAAGAATCAATTCTTAAAGTCACTCCTTCTTGATCTCAAGCCGCAAGAAAACTCATTTAAAGATCTTTCTCCCCTCCAAAAAGGGGGTTAAAAATAGTCTGTCAGTAGACCAACTAAGTATACTGACTTTGTAGATAGCTATAAAGCTTTTACCTACAAATAACTTAACCCTAAGTTTAGCCAGTCATGTTGTACACATCGGCGAATTAGTCGCGGCACGCCTAGCTGTAGGAAGCGGTTTATAGTTCGCCGTTGAACCATTTCCAGCGGTCCAAGTACCGAGTTCAAAGGTACAATGTTGTAGGTAGCTGTACTTTTTACTACAGAATGGCAGAGAATGTTGTTTTTGAGGGTAAAAGTAATACAATTTTTTACCAACTTTTATGATGGTGAATTTTCGTAAACAATAACCCTAAACTACGAGGGTGGTTCAAAAACTTACTTAGCTTTAGGTATATTTTGTCTGAGAATTAAGGTTTTCACATGGTAATCCCTTAATCTCCAAAACGCTGATCCCTCTGAGGTCGGCAACGCACTCGTAACTCCTCCGATGCGGGTGTCCATGGGCGGCGCTGATGGCTTACCATCAGGTAATCCGTCTGCTCGTTTGCAGACCTATTACATAAAACAAAGTACAAACTTGACTTCACTCCAGGCTTGACTGGGCAACCGACTGCTGTGCAATTTGTCGCGTCTTAGGGTCCCGCATGGAGCAATACTTTGTGTGATCCGCAAATTTTTCCACCGGTTCTGTGTGTAATGTGTACCTATGTCAAATTGTGTGTTTGTTACTACGCACCCACAACATAGGAGATAATACTAGTGAATTGCAAAAAATATATTTTTTTATATACTAAAATTGAAAAGGCCTTAATTGGAACAGGAAATTATAAGATAAACCAGTGCAAGACATGAGCATATCTATTTGATCAACATTCGATAAGTACGCGTACAACATTAATTCCCTAGAAGTGTTAGCACTTAGCGTAGCGAATCTAATACACAAAGTTACAATTTAATCTTCCTAACGCCTTTATTTCGAGGCGTTAAAGTCTTATTTCCTAGTTAAATTCCCTACAGTTTGCACTGTGCTATAACTGTCAAAGTTTATCGACGTTACTGTTTCCGTTCGCAAGTATCGGTTGTATAATCTGTGCACAATCTTATGCGAGTTTCTGCAGGTGCTTACACTTTGTACCCACATATTGCGTTTGCAGGGTTAATTCTGTCCGCGGGAATAGGGCTGCCCAAGAGAGCGGCGACTTTGGCCATTTTTGTCGAAGCTTGTCTTTAAATGTTTCTTACAAAGTAAATTAAGTTAAATTCTGATTTAAGTACTTACGAGTAACTAGGTGTAGTTTGTTTTTATTTTTTGTCATTTTGGTTGTTACTATGTCATTATCGTTATTTGGTAAAATTTATGTTCCTAGCTTTTGCTGCGACTTTGTTCGTGTGGAATAGTGATTTCCTGCAGGTTTTTGGTTAAAAAACTATCATATGTCTTTTCTCGAGTTCCAAACTATTTGTAACTAATTTCACACAAAGAGGTTCAGTAGTTTAGGCGTGAATGAAGAAAAGACAGACAGACAGATACTTTCGCATTTATAATATTAAGTTTGGATTTCGAATTGTTTTGTCTTTTTACTTCTTTTGTGCACGAATACAAATGTATTTGATTTTGATCGTCTTCTTAAAAAAGCAAGATTTTGTATCAGTCGGGAAGTGCAGGTGCGTGGATGTACATTCACAGTTATATAGCAAAAGTGGTTGATTATCATAAACAGGTCATTACGGCGGCGGTGACAGAATTAGGGTTGGCAGGTGAGTCATATCTGGCGCATTGCCAACCACCTGCCGCCGCGTCGGGGACTTTTTGATTTTTGTATGAAGCACCTACTTGACACTTTTTTTTTACGTTAGGTATGAAGACATTTTTTTTATTATAGAAGAATGCATTAGTTGTGTTTAGATAGAAAAGTTCAATGTGAGGTTTGCTTGGATTTCTTTTGTTTCCGTGTAGATGAAGATCACTAAATAAGTCAAACAAATAATGATTTTATATTGGGTATAGATCTTCAATTTTACTCATGACTAAGCGACGTAGAAGAGTTTCCCATTGTGACTTGAAAGTAACATTATCAAATACTATATTCTTGACAGTCTTAAAAGCTCTTTATAGCAAGGTAATCTACAGTATAACCTCAAAACTGTCCCCTTCGACAACTGAATAGAATTCTCCCGGTGACTCAGCTATTTTTGTCGCCGGAAAGGGGACTATTTCCAGTTCGCTATTTCCACACCTCCACCTACCCACTAGCGCCCTCTACCTAGGGCAGAAATTGTGATTTAAACTTTTAATGTCTCCTTGTAATGCGTTTGAAGTTTAAATAACGTTGGTTTGTTTAGTATAATGCATCGTCAGTGTGAGATAGGATTAGGTAGTTTGATTCGGTAGATTGAGCTGTGAGTCGGAATGTTTTAGTTATAAATTGCCAATGATTTAGAGTATATATGTAGTTAAGTTTTTTAAGGAACTCCACCTCTGTTGGTTGGGTAGACTTCGGTCATCAGTTTGAACAAAGAACTATTGCCTATTTCTTATTGTTTCGAAGCATGTATGGCATTCTGATTTAGGTTTAAAAACCTTATATTTTCTAAAATAAAATTACTACAAACTCAGGCCCGGGCACATTTAGTAAATCATTATTTTAAGGAACAAACAAATTGCTAAATATTTAAATGTTAACTTGTCGGTCAAAAGTCTTTCAAAATCTTCAAACCATGTTTTTAACATCAACCCATGACATCACACTATAACAGATACAGACGTCACACATCACACATGACTCAGGGTATAGAAATACAATTTGGCGAGGTACCCGACCGGGAATGAACCCCGGTCTATTTGCGTTCTGGCGGCGTGCCAGCGTCGTTTGATTGTTTGACCCGTTTCCTGAGCTATGGTGGTTGGATTGCTTTGTCCTCACCGAACTGATATGATTCTTGTTTATGGCTTACTATGACCTATTGTTTTGTCTTTGGTGTGTATTGTAGATATTCTGAGGAGATAAGATGATGTTTTATTTATAGTCTATACTAATGTTATAAAGAGGTAAAATTTGTAAGTTTGTATGTAGGGGGTAATTTTTAGAACCGCTGGTCGGATAGCCAAAATTCGTTCACTGGTAGATAGCTACAATGTTCCTGAGTGCTATAAGAGCGCTGAGCAGCGGGTGAAACCGCGCTAGAATAGCTAGTATTCATAATATGATTTAGATAAGCGACGATTTTTTGATATTTGATGATTGGAAAAACCGATAATTATAGTATTAAGTATGCTCTTGTTTACCTTATTTGAGGGCTGCCAGTGCATCTAAAGCTAACAAGGCCACTAAATCAAGTGGCTAATATTAAAAAACTAGATCAAATAAGGCACCATTTCTTTTCTTTTAAAGCCGAAATCCACATTCGGCTGTAAATAAGTATGCATATCATTATACTATTTTTTTAAAACCTTATTTCTAATGACACCTTCTCTTCCCCAGGATCTTGGTGGGTGCTCCAGAAGACCAGCTGTATTCTGCATACGAATACAATGTGACTCGACCTGGTGCGGTGTACCGCTGCGAGCCAGTGTACAGGAACTATGCAGCTGAAGGAAATGTCAGGACTCTGGACCGCTGCAGTCCCATGCAGTTCGATAAGAATCCAAGTAAGTGCTAAAATTAATGTTTTTTGATTAAAGACTGTTTGTACACTTTTACAAAAGTGGTGTCTTTCTGTTTTTCTTTTACACAAAAACTGCTGGACCGATTTGGTTAAATTGTATATGTAGATACGACCGTGGAATATCAAATAGACTTTTTATCTACCATGCGGGCGTAGACGCGGGCGGAAGCTAGTAAAGAAATATGTGCCTAATTCAAATTAGGGTTTGTTAGTGCATATAAGCTTATGATGCTAGCACTGGCTCAACTCTTGACAGACTATTAATAAACAATATGTAGACTGTTAAAGTCAAAGCCAAAAAGGCGTGCTGAAAGTAAATAAATTAATTTCTTTTTCAATTTCAAATATTAAAAACAATGTATTATACATACCTTATCATCCACTAAAGTTCAAAACGGTTACAAAACACTCAATACACCTATCTCATAAAAATCATGATACACTATACCCGTATCGCAATAAATTACCCAAGAAACAGTACAGGAGAAATGTATACCCGTTTATCCGAATGGAAGGTGATCGTGACAGGACAATGAGATACTCCTCATATCTTCAAGCAAGCAATACTTCACGAGATGAAATCAATGAGCCTACCCGTAATGCGATTACAGCGCCATTATTCATACAACTCTTATCGAAGTTTATTAATAACATCATTTTATATTAAATATTTATTACCTAATACAAGTTAATGATATGGGTATTATGTAGAGATGTATGAGGTTCGCAGTGGTGCGAAGGTTAAGGCACCTGCTTCTCGTGCAGGAGGGTGCGGGTCCGGAAACTAGCAAGTACCAATGTGACTTTTCCGAGTTATATGTACTTTCTATGATTATTTAGACACCACTGACACGGACTTATAATCTCTAAAAGTTTGAAATCGCCAATCCGCCTTGAGCAAGCGTGGCGATAATTGCTCAAACCTTCTCCGCGTGAGAAGATGCCTTTGCTCAACAGTAAACACAACTCAACGCACTACACACACCAACGCAAATACTCTGGTGTCCATAGGTGGCGTAGATTGCTTACCATCAGGTAATCCGTCCGCTATTTGGCTACCCTATCACATAAGAAGAGGAATTTTATTTTCAACGACTTCATATAATGATGCCTAGATAGTTAATTTGTGTATTTAAGAAAATACTTTACAAAGTAAGTAGTTTCTTAATACCTCAAACATTAAGGACCGTTTTTGCTTACCCAAATAAGGTTCCATAAACAGAGTTCAACGCCTCCTTCCGAAATCACGAACAGATGACGGTACCATGTCCCTGTGACGTGTGTCGTGGCGCGCATGCGCGTGACAGCTACCGCGCACGCGCGCCTGATTTATACGATATACGGCAACTCCTGCGCAAGGTGACGTTAAATGCGGGTAACAGAAGGTTAAGACTGTGCAGCTGTGGTTTTGAATTCTTGTTTATTTCACATCTTGATAAGCTTTTATGGATTTTTATTTTAAACTAATTTGAAAAAAAATATTGACAAGACAGAATGTTATTTATTCGTGATAGAGACATCAAAATAGGGGTTAGTTTTGTTTTTTGTTACTGGTAGTTTATTGCCCAGCAAACAAGTTTACTGTGATATGTAGGTATGTAAACGCACCCAGGACACAAAGTATATAGAATATTAGTATAGTGGTATAATAACGTTCTCCTTGTGAGAAGATGTTTTGCTCAGCAGAAACCACTAATAGACTGATAATGATGTGTATGTTAAAAAAAATGGAATTATTTATAGCTAAAACATTACTTTTATCAATCACGTGGTAGTTAGATTAACATACCTATGATCAATAAAAGAGCAGGGGTGATGAAGCCTCTAAAACTAACTGAACCAGCATGGTACAGCAAATACCTTGACTAGAAGACAGACGGAGAGACTGACACGCATAAAGTTAAACTTAGGAAATTAGATTTTTGCTTGACGTTTAAAAATTAAAAGTGCCTGCTGTGGTCTTTTTATATTTCTTTTGCTTGACTTTCAAAAGTCTCTGCTGTGGTCTATTTGAAATAAATGATTTTGTCTTTTGACTTTTTATAATACTTGATTGAATCGAAGTCAGCCTTCTGTAATGATTTATTATTACACATATCTACCGACTCTTGCGCAGCCTTAGCGCTTTGTTCGCTAGATGGACGTAATGTGTCTTCTCAGTACGAGTAATGCCCTCACTTCATATTAGACATGAGGGTTTTGTTATGTGGTCAGATTAAACTTTGCTAAACAAGTTCAGTATGGCTCGTTTATTATCGCGAACAATGGGGTCGCACGGTGAAGCTGGAAAGTGAATGGGGCCATGCTTCAATATAGAGAAACAAATAAAAATAAAGGGATGATAAGACATATAAGGCTTTGTGAAAATTATCTAAAAAAAATACCACCTAGTACGACCTAAAGCGGTAGCTTTCACTAATCTAAACATAAAAATAAATCAAAAATAAATTCGAGAAAATTCAGAAAAAATACTTCTTTGGGTAGTTTAATGAATGGTGCAGGGGGTTTGTGTGCTTTATTATTTTAAGATTTTCTACAAGGCAGAACGTCAGTTCTTTTATTTGTCACTTAGGTACTCTGACACCGTTTTTTCGGCAGCCACATTTGAAATAATTTAAATCCAGAAAATTCCAGATACCAGAAAAGTATTAAATAATATCAAAAATATGTTATGATTCACCTTATAAAATAACCATTGAAAAAAGACAATAACAAAGCAAAATCTTAAAGTAAATAAATCGCCAAGTATCCGGACTATCACAATGGGCTTAAGTTTACGACGCACAGGATGCGCGCGCGCAGTTAACGCGTGCGCGTGATTCGATTCTTAACCCACATCGATATTTTTAATGTCCACGAGAAAGTGGATGGATTTCGCCGTACGTCAGCTATGCCGTAGTATATATTTAGAACGATCCGAGATTTTTAATGAGACTTCCTGTTCTATTTAATTGGAAATTGTTTACGCTGTCAACTAGCGTTTGTTTTAATGACCAGGAGTAGAGGATATCAAGTTCTGCCAGGAAATCTTGCACGCGCTTTTTCCTAGTCTTTTAATTCTCAGTCTTACTCAATTGTAAAGCGAATATCAGCTTCTTTTCCTTCAAATCCTGCAGCAGCAAAATTATTATCCGATTTTAACTCCACGTATTTATGTCTATTTTATTTTAAACATGAGTTCTATTGAACTTATACATAATAAAAAAAAAAAATAGATTGAGATCTTTAAACAATTTTGACCGGCTAGTTTCTTCTTTAATCCACCATGCTTAGACTATAATTTTCTTTTCACACAGTTACCTTATCTGTTGAGCTACATACATACATTAATAATGCTAATAAGATATTTGGATAACTCTAAGAACATCTTTTGAGAGCGTGAATGACTTATCAGATAACTATACTTTCCACATTTTAACTGTACAATAACTTATTGGAGTCGTAAATATGTGGGAGAGTCATGCTTCGGAACCAATGCCTCACAGAAAACCGGCGTGAACCAACACTTACATACGTTATGTTTCACGCTGTGTGTGAGGTTACAGTAGGCCCAATCCTTCAATCCATCCTCAAATCTCAAATCCCCAAGGCCCCACAAGAGGCCGGCAACGCACTTCTAGTAACTACTCTGGTATTACGAGCGTCCATAGGCGGCGCCAATTGCTTACCATCAGATAATCCATTTGCAGGTTTGCCGACCTAACATAAAAAAACAACAACATGTATTCTTACAAATAAACTGTTTCTAGAGTTCTAACGTCGATGTTCTGAACAGAGACTTCAAAGGTCAAGAGAAGCCTGGGGCTATAATATAGTTATCAATATTACAGGTACAACTTTTAGCTGTGAGCAAACACTCACGTTATACAATTTGATTGCCTCATAAAGAAATCGCGAGTGACTCATAAACTCGTACATTCAAACATTCATTCCGAATGAATCATTCACTCTTTGACCGAACTTTCGCTACGCTAATTCCCTGGTAACCTTTACTTATCCCCTAGGTTACTGGATCATATTTAGCGGCAGTTAATGAACGATCGCTAAGTGTAGGCGCCTGCGCATGTAGGCGGTTACCTGCTGTTAATTCAAATTTGGAACTTTGGAATTTGTCCTTAATTTGAATTATGGTAATTTTATTCTAAAGTTTGAGTGTAGAATTTTATATTGTTAAGCTTCTTGTGCATTTACGATTGAATTTAAATCAGTAATTTTTGGCTTCCGTGCAACGTGACGCAGGGTAGCTTCAGCACAGTACAACTCTGTGTGATCTACAAAATATAGTTCCGGGTCTAAGTGTAATGTGTTTGTGAGATTGTATGTTTACCCACGACACTAGAGAGAATACTAGTGTAGGGCATATCAAGATTATTTCACCCACACCAAAATAATCAGATCAATAACTTTTAATATCAAGTAGTTGGCTAGAAAACACTTTTGAACCCTAAGAAAAAATAGCTCTCGGTCATTGCTAATAACAAAGTAATTTTAAAATAAAATAGTGCCTTTACACAATTGTCTACCAAACGGTTACATTGACCATACAAAAATATTAAATAAAAATTATTTTTATTTATATTCTCGATAAAATAAAATACGTAACTTTCTAAACATTTTCATTATCAAAGTCAATCTTCTTCGAATTTATTACTTAATATACTTACCAAGATCTCCGTCGCCCGGAAGCTGCGTACAATTTCTCTGAGATAACAGAGTTCAAGCCTGATAACCTGCGCATACCCCGCGAATACCAGGGACGATGTTATACCGATGAATCATCGATACAACTCGTATATAATCGATTTACTAATCGATTTAATGGCAGACTTGATGTTAGGTAGAGGTATTTATGTAGATTGTTTCGAAATTGTGATTCGTTTTACTGTTTTGTGTTTATATCTATACAGTATATAGCAAGAATTCGTTTATTGGTATTTTTATATTAATTATTTAATAAGACGTAAAAATTGGGTAAAAAAAGGT